GCGTGTGAGCCGGGCTCAGGCTCTCCCTCTTGGCAAAGCCACCAGCGTCCGAGAGGCGACACGGCGAGCAGGACTGGGCACGCGCCTCGTGCACCTCCTCGGGGCCATACTGCCAGTCCAGGCAGTGGTCCTCCGAGCTGAGGCTGAAGCTGTCATCTGAGGAGGTGTGCATGGTGGAGATGTCCTCCACCAGCTTGTCAATCTTGGCCACCGTACTGGAGATCTTGTTGGCCAACTTCTCAGCAGCCAGCGAGACGTCGTCCTCCGGCAGCGGCAGCTTCTTGGGCTCAGTGGGCTTGCTGCTGCCATCCTTCTCCGGCTCCGGGCATCGCCTCTGCGCCAGCGCCCGGGGCAGCGCCTGCCCTTGGAGGAAGGAGGAGTTGAGGAACATGGAGAGGACGGAGGCACTGGCTGGCTCCACACCCGGGGAGACATTGGGCACCTCATCATCGTCGAAGCAGCCGGAGTCAGAGGCGTAGTCCTTCACCAGGCTCTCCATGTGCCGCGTTGGCTTCTTGGCACTCTGGGTCTTCAGACTCTGCTTCTCCATGGTGTCAAAGGTCTCAGCCAAGTGCTTGGCATCCAGCTCAGCCTCCAGCGCCTTCTGCTTGCGCATGTAGAGGGAGGGCATGCAGGAGCCCGGCGAGACGACGGCCGTGTCCTTGTACTTGGGGGGCCGGTTGGTGAGGAGGTTGCGGAGCGCGGCCGCGCTGCCCATGGCGATCATCTTGTGCTTGGAGTGGATGAGGTTGCGCAGCATGCTGACCGCCCCCAGGTCCCAGAGCAGCTCCTGGTCGCGGGGGCTGCGGGCTGACAGGTTCCAGAGGGTGCCGCAGGCGTTGCTGACGATGGTCAGGCTGTGCGAGCGCAGGTGCTGCAGCAGCGTCTGCAGGCAGTTGTGGTCCCGGAGCACCTGCCTGTGGGACAGGAGGGACCCCCGGTCATCAGAACAGTCCCTGTCCCCCTCCCCGGCACCGTCCCCACCCCATGGTGACCCTCACCTGTAATCCTCCCGCGTGGCAACCAGGCTGGAGACGTTCCTGAGGATGCCA